TATATATATATATATATATATATAATGTTCTCTATGCTTCTTGATATAATAGATATACGCCGATCGCTCGAAAAAACATTTCGGTCCTTTGCCGCTTGATTCGGAAATTACGGCAACAGCGTATGAATGACGCAACAGCGAGTCGGCGAGAAGGATTATCTCTCTCTCTCTTAGATTCTCTCGCTGTCTCGTTCGCTCTCAGCGCGCCGAAGGCAAACAAGGACGAACGGTTAGAGAGACAAGGACAGCGCGATTGTCGGCGCGCTCCTGCTCCAAAGTCACACGTACACGAGCTTTGTTTGTGTGAGTGCAAACTGATGTGCCAGGCGGCCAACCGATGGCATTAGTAGCGATGTCGTAAACCGTCTATGGAATGGCATCCCTACTCTGCTCTCTCCGCGCTCGTTTATATACTGAAAGGCGTCGGTAACCTTCCACCAATCAGCGCTCTCGCCCGCTGTGCGAGAGAGATAGTTTAATACCGTCCGTAGGACGCGACGGCATAATTCCGTAGGACACGACGGTGTATCGTAGGACACGACGGTCTCTATCGGATTATCGATCGATCGTAGCACTCGATGGCCATTCCGTAGGATACGACGGTATTCCGTAGGACACGACGGGCCTCGACGATCGTAGGACACGACGGCAAATTTCCGTAGGACACGACAGTAAATTTCCGTAGGACGCGACGGTAAAGCAACACGTCGCGAAAGCAACACGCGGCGCTAAATTTTCGTAGGACACGACAGTAAAGCAACACGTCGCGAAAGCAACACGCGGTGCTAAATTCTCGTAGGACACGACGACAAAGCAACACGCGGCCGAAGCAACACGCGGCTGAAACAACACGCCGGGAAAACCAACACGCGGCGACAAAATCGCGGTTTTACGGGTTTTAACGGCTTTTATCGCATTTTTCACGAAAAATAACTTATTGCCTAATTTGACATGAAATTCGCTCTAGAATCAAATACAAGCATTAAAAATCGTGAAAAAATATTATTAGTCCGTTGTGACGAGCATCATAAACTACGTCACCTCCAGTGATCCTGATTCTCTCGAATCTTCCGAAGTTTCATATTTCTATTTTATCTTTTATACGCTAGCTGCGATTAGAACGAAACTTACTGAGGATATAGAGTATCCAACGAACTATCAAGCGAACCTATCCTCCGTATCGCGGTAATTATTCGAAAGAGAACTTTAGCTCTATCCCTCAAACTATAGGTCGCACACAAATGTCCTTCAGTATACGCATAACTCTCACGTTTTTACACATGAGAAAATTATCAAACTCGTCGTATAAATTGTCCTCGAGTTGTCTTTAATTATAAAGGTATAATAAATGTTTTCATAAAATAATAAAATGTGAAATATAAAATATATACTCTCTGTATATCTCTACGAGCTATCCCAATATGAAGGGTTTTTTTAACATAAACAAGTATATATCTTAATTATTAATGCCTCACGCATACATCAGTCTTAGCTGAATCATCTAAAAACTAATAGAATAATTATGCTTTACGTATTATATGGAACCTTTAAAATGTTATTATCAAATTATAAAATTTAACGTTATCTACGTTATTAAACTATTTTAAAATATCTTAAATCTATCGCACTCTTAATTTTAAGGAATAAAATGACTCTATATATTTATATCAACTTAATCCTAAATACTAAGGAAGGCTTTAATTATCCTTCTGGAGGGCTTTCTAACGGGATGGCTCTATTGGCTTAGGAGGGCATTTGGGCGTCGTCGGCCGGTTCCTCCTCCTCATCCTCGTCCAGTGGAGTCAGCCTCTTATAACTTCTTTTTGGTCGGATCTGCTCCTCCTCCAGATTTTCCTCTTCCATAGGCTGGTCGGTCCTCTGTTGCTGAGGAATCAAACACGTTAAAATACGATGTTTCGTTATTGATGAGTCGCAAACACCATTGACCAATTTCAATGGCGGTTGCAATGCTTTATGAGGCTAACTTCTTTCAATGCACGGCGAATGGATGCGCCAGATGTGCTTGGCATCGATGATGCACCTGATGTGCTGGCTATTTCAGAAGCAGATGTTGTCACTTCTTCATGCGCAACCGTTTCAATCACATCCCCACTAACCATTAAAACGCGTTGATTATCGCCCTCATTCTCAATGGTCTCATTTTCGCCGCTCAGTTCGGCAGCAACAAAATCTTCAGCAGTGAAAACATCGGGATTATACTCACAAATTCCCGTGACTTGAAATCCATTCTTTATATTCTTTCGCGTCGCACATGCATCGAGACATTGTTCAGCAATGGTGACAATATGATAAAACTGCAATGAAGAGTGCGATTTCATCCAATTTTGACACTGCCGAGAAAACATCGTTTTGAACGGGCCAAATATGGTTACATCGAGTGGCTGCATTCGATGCGTGCAGTGGGGAGGGAATGACAGCATAGTTATGCCCGCATCGATCGCCATATCAATGACCTCAATACTTAGGTGCGATGTGTGGCTGTCCAGGAGCAACAAGGTCGGTGAACTTTTGGAAGCGTGGGCGTGCTTAATAAAATGACCCAGGTACTTGACGAATGTCTTTGAATCCATCCATCCCGATTCGTTTGCCACACCGACAGTACCTGGAGAAGCTTTGACCATCCATGAACTTTGCATATTTTTCTTCGGAAAAATAAAAAAAGGGTGAATGGATTGTCCTGCCACATTCACAGCAAGCGCCAATGTAACATTTGTGCCTCTCTCTGCGGAAGTTTTTTGACCCACTCTTTTTTTCACCTTCTCTGCGATTACTTTAACTGTTTTAGTTGGTACTGTGGGGCATCCCGTCTCATCCATGTTCCAGATGCGATCTGGATCGTACCTTATCCCACTTTGGAACATGGCGACATGAAGATTGGTGAAAAAAGCATTGACATTTTCGGCGCAGAAGGCCTTAGCACGGTTGGCACTGGTCTGCTCCGGCGTTCGGAGAGAAAGATTCAGATGGCGATGCATAAATGCATAATACCAGTCCTTCGATGCTTTGCAATGAACATCCCATTCTGGAGGATATCGAACGCCCGACTTCTTTGCGAACTCGTAGGCCATTGTTACCAACTCACAGATGGTCAATCCATAATACATGGCGGTGGAATGAAGGAGGTATTTCATCAGCTCTTTCTCTTGGTCCACGCTGAAAACCTGCCCAAAAAAATATTATATACTAGGTATATTGAATGAATGGAAATGAATGGAGATAAAATAACAAACCGTTCTTCCACCAGTCACGTTACATTTTGTGGTTACAAAATCGGTCAATTGTTCATTCGTGGCGGTTGCGGGATCTATGTTTTTACTTTTCAGGTCGGAAATGTAGCGATGCAGTTTGGTGTCATTGATGTTGTACGCTTTGGCAACGGAGCATTGCAATTTTTTGTCATTCATCACCTCTTTCATGGCAGCCACCATGGCATCGACATCAATCGCTGGTTTCTTTTTCGAACCATACTTATAACGAGGCATATTGACTGAAAAAACATTCCAATTTTTAACAAATAATGCGTAATACGCATGTAAAATACGACTTCAGGTTCACATCTGGCATATTTGCCGTGCTTCATTTCTCCCCATTCGCTAGTATTTTAAAATTGCCACCGCGTCAGTAACACATCGAATGTTTTTGCATAAATACATTTCAACGTCGAAAGCCTAATCATTGTTGATTAATTTGTGTGCACTCACCTTTTCGATTCGCTTGAAAATGTTTATGAAACTGCCATAAACACAAATGCTCAATAAAACTTTCCGAACAAAATGTTGAACACAATGTCTGGAGAGACACAACAAACGTGTGCTATCGGGATGAATGCTACAAGAAAACTGAGATATTAGGAGAACCAATGTTTTCAGCATGTAAGACCCATGGTATAAAGACAAGGGTATGCTCGTTTCGTGTCAGACCACTGCGCATTCCCACCACTTTGCCGTAACACCCCTACTATTTTACGACGATAGTTATGACTAGCCTAGATGTATAAATGGATAGGTATTAAATTAAATATACACATATATATATTTATTTATTTATTGGGGATATATAATAATGCATGATTACAAGTTTTTTATTAAATTATATATTTATGTAGAACTATGTTAAACATTTATCAGGAGACGCGGTAGCGTTTCCGGCCATGTTCAAAAACTGCGAGACGCTACAAGTCTCTTATCCCGATTTTTATTTTCGCGAATAACAGCTCTGCGTTCGTGATACAACATTTGAATTAGAAATCCCATGGCCTATAAATTGATTTTCTCTAGATATATAATGACGCCTTGTATATGAATTGTAATAATCGCGTACTATTTGTCATTTCTTGATAAATTGTTCGAAAAAATATCACGAAACTAGTGCATCCCAAAACCAGCACACATAAAGTGCACAAAGATATCACAAAATTGTCCACATACATCAGAGGTATTACTTTGAAATTGTTGAGTGTTGTAAAATAAAGTTTTACAGTATTTTCTATAGCGGGCGAGATTCTGTGGGATGATAGGTGGTAACTCGTAGCTGTCGAAATAGTGTCCGACGCCGTCCCGTCCGACGTACATAGCGACCCAATGTGTTCCAGGTCGTATTGTATGGTCGTCAGTATTAGCGATAATAGCAGCAGGTTTACTTCAAAACGTAGGTCGTTCGCAGCATAAACGCCTATAGTATCGCAGGGTATGTTTTGTAAAGCAACCCGTAATTGCAAACTATTCATAGCGACCAAGAATTTTCAAGAGAATTATTTTCTTTTTCTTCTACTTCTTTTGTATTATGACTATTATCGCGGTTATACCACGTCATAGAAAACGATGGAGATGGAGGCGACAACGGTGTTGGTAAAGATACAGAATCCAGAAAGGCGTAATCTTTAATCCACTTTCTTATCCGCAATGAATTATTTAAAGCACATGTATATTCCCGATTATTTGTCTTGATTTTTATATCATGGATGAGGCACGTTTGCTTCAACTGCGATAATTGATGAAATGGTGGACATTTCTCCTCTTCTTCTAAATTTATAATGTTTCTACTTGTAATACGATGGAGAAAAGCTGATTTATCTCGGCCTCTTATGAATATTCGGTTCGTAAATTGTGCAATTGTCCTCAAATGTCGACATAAGTTTTTATATGGTGTATCTCCTTCAAACCATTCAATACCATGGAAATTTTTACTGAGCCAATTGTTTTGAGATTTTGAACGGGTTGATAGCTCGGTAAAGGAGTATGGTTGCGCAATAATCCAATGAGCGCAATGGTCGTTATTTATGGAGACAATAGCAACTTCTTTTGGAAAAAAATCTTCCTCCGTATTCTTGAATCCTTGTATATCAATAACGATATTCATATTTATAATTATAAATGCGAGAAAGATATATATATGAATAACTGGTAGTAATAGTGTAGTGTCTACACTCAAGAACTAGTGCCGACTGATGATTGAAGTTATATGCTCATAACGTTTAAGCTTTTCGTTTCTATAACATCCGTTCCTATAATGCTTGTTCCCGAAGTTCTAGTTCCTATAATGCCTATATTAGTATCAAGTTTCATCTGCGTTGAATATTTGCATAGCCTACTACGAATTCTCTCTCTCTCTCTCGTTCTTAACCACCATAGTCTACAATCACCCGTCTTGCATCAATCTCCATAATATCAGGAGACGCGGTAGCCATGTTCAAAAACTCTGAGACGCTACAAGTCTCTTATCCCGAACCACCAAAGTCCATTTTT